ATTATCCTCTTTTTTCTAAGAAAAAAAAAGCAATCTATCAATTTTAAACACAAAAAAGGAAAACTGAAGCACTTTTGGGTCAAGTCAGGAATAAATCCCACAGTCTTACTTATACTAAACAAACACTCTATACTGAGTCACATTCCCAGTTCTCAAAACGTTTTAATGTTAGTTTACGTATTTTTTTAATGACTACAGTATATAAGTCTTATCTTTTCAAATGTTCAGATTTTCACTCACTTTTCCAGTGTCCCCTTATTATTAAGCTGCCATTATTACATAAAACATAAAACTGCTGCTTGACATCCAGAATACTTTAATTTTTATACAGTTCAATCAACTCTACTTTTTATAATTTTCCTACCATTTTCATTCTTAGGAAATTCTCATTTCAGCATAGCTACTGACACAGTTTCAGTTCTTTTGCTGAAGACACCACACACATCAGAGGACTTGGAGGTATAAAGTTAATGTGGACCTAAAAGCCTTCTCCCCAAGGAAGCTCTAGCAGCACCTGAAGATACCGTATGAGCTGCCAGAGGAGAGGAGCAGCCAACAGTCCTACCAGCTGTGAGGCTTATGAACCACGATGATGACCTTCCTGGAAAGATACCCCAGTGCTATAATAGTGACATAATGGCACTTTTATCATGGAAATAACCAACAGCTGTCTAACTGAACTTATATTTTACTCAGTAGAAGGAAATGCATACCTAGACAAATATCCATAACTGGAGAGGTCCAAGACCATAGAGGAGAACCCACAATTGCCATCTTCCAAAATCAATATAATTTCTAACCACATTCTGAATGCTTACTATTATACCCAAAGATAAGCGTAACTCTGGTGCTTCACAAAAAAAGCTTCTTTTTTTATAGTAGACAAGCATGGGTGGTCAGCCTCAATTGGTATTCGTACAATGTAGCCCTTTCCTAAGGATCAGGAAAATCATAAAGTAGGAGAAGAAAGATTTTAAGAGCCAGAAGACAGACCCAGGACACCTACTCCTAGTGTCTTCTAGACATGACAGAAAATTGCACCCATGAAATCTCAACCATAGCGTTACCTAAACAAGACCTGCACAGTGACACTACCAGCTGACACGTCAATGTGGACGAGGGAAATTTCAGAGAGCTCCACCCTAGATGAAGAGCTACAGGCAATGAATGGCAGCTGAAAGAGTGAGAATCAATTTTTTCCCAAGTGGACAACCCTTAACACATGTACAAATGAGCAACACTAAAAAGACTTGGTGTGAGGGGTGGGTGTGTGCATATGTGTGTGTGCACACACACGCAAGCATATGGAAATGTGTGCGACAATAATTATAGAAGTACTCATGAATTTGAGAAGGAGTGTGGGCAGAGGACACAAGAGGAGTTGGAGTAGAGGGAGAAGAGGTGGAAATGATATAAACATAGTACTTGTATAGAAAATTCTCCAAAAAAATTAAATTTCTAATATAAAATCTCTTTGAAGAGTTTCTTTTGGCTAACTATTAAAACTTCAACATCTACTACTTCAATTAAATGTTCAATTACTTTGTTTCACTTAAAATGTCACTCATTTGGAGAGTTCCAAATCTGAGTCTTCAATTTTGAAATAACATCTGATACAAGAGGATTTAGATAGACATTTGGAACATTGTCTTTATTGATTGATTGATGCTCTTTATCCTATTCAAATTACTGGAAGGAGGTTCAGAGTTTAAGAGGAAAGAGCCATCTAAAGTGTCATGCCAAATATCATTAGATTCGTTTTAGTTTTAATATTTACAGTAGTAGTCATTATAATTAGAAAAAAGTTTAGGACACTTGCAATATATTTGGCATAATTCTAACGCCTCTCTGGATGTTTTAGCTTTGCATAGTGAGCCTATGAATTTAAAGAATGCTGCTCTGATGAGCACTGATGTGGCAGATACTGCTGATAAAATTACCCATAGCCTGAGGTCAATATTTTTATTTTGCCCAAGCTTCAATAATGGCATATATAGCTTGATCATGCTAGCCCTTTTTGTCCTGGGAATACTTTTATTCCTACTCATCATGTTAAAGCTTGTCTTTAACAACATCAACATGTTGATGGTCAAAGTACATGACTTGAACCTGAAAATGGAACCCCAGTCAGAGTTATTAAATTAACAGGCTGGCAAGCTAAGGACAGGTAAGATTCTGCTCAGAGCCTTACCAACCTAAGGCAGAAATTAATTGCTTTCGATAATGCATATTCCACGACGGGTAAGGAAGGCATTCTTGGCAGAATGACCTAAGACAGACTCAGTCTTGTTTATGAAATAAAAAAGGAGAAGAGGCAGAGAGCTTTTGGAGTTGCTTGGCAGGAATATGATATTGGTGACAGACAAGGAAGTTGGCTTCAGGCAAAAATCTGACATTAGGCTAGAACAAAGAAGTCATTTCAGGCAGGAATCTAAATCTTAGGCTAGAACAAGGAAGTAGGCTTCAGACATGAAAATGACTTTGGGCTAGGACAGGGAAGTAGGCTCAAATATTTTGGTCATCCTGATATGCCCTTAGAAACAGTGATCATGGGAGTGTTCACAAAACTTTGTTTATTGCCTTGCTTGTTCCTTGACTATTTGCATCTACTGTATTGCTAGTTCTTCAACCTAGAGCTGACCTTAATACTTGCATGTAATTAAAATGGTATAAAAACAAAAAGGAGGAGGGATGGGATGGGGGTTTCTAGGGAGGGGAAATGGGGAAGGGGATGACATCTGAAATATAAATAAATAAAATATCCAATAAAAATCTGTATTTACTATTGTATACCACCTTTCATTGTATTCAGTGTGGGGTGTGTCTGTATTGTGTGTGTTCTGTGTATGTACTTTGTATATTTGTCTGCTCTGTGTGTATGTGTGTGTGCTGAGAGTGTGTATGTTCTGTGTGTGTGCTCTGTGTGTATGTGTGTTCTCTCTCTCTCTCTCTCTCTGTGTGTGTGTGTGTATGTGTATGTGTTGAGTATGTGTGTATAGTTGTACTCTGAGTATGGGTGTATGTGCTGAGTGTGTCCTCTGTGCATATGTGTGTATTTAGAGGAGGTTGACAGGGTATATTGCTACAAGCTATCCTCAAACTCATGATATAAATCTAGGCTGGTCTTGAACTTGTGATCTGCCCACCTCAGCTGCCTAGGTGCTAGGATTACAGGCATGTGTCATCATAATCGGCTATGCCATATTTCCTGTTTTCTAATTTGCATATTTAGGTTACATTTTCTTTTGGTTAGATATATTAAATATTGTCTAAGGACTAGAGAGATGGCTCAGTAGTTAAGAGTACTGGCTGGTCTTCCAGAGGTTCTGAGTTCAACTCCCATCACCCACATGGTGGCTCAGAACCATCTGAAATGGGATCTGATGCCCTCTTCAGTTGTGCAGACATACAGAAAGACTGAGCAACCATATACATAAAACAACAACAACAAAAGAATAAAGAATATTTGTCTCCTTCCTTCCTGTCTCCCTGTGCCTGCCATAATCACCTTTCTAATTCACCTTATCCTGCTTTCCTATCTTATTTTCACATACATGTAAAGTAAATTTTACGTAGTTTTGTGTTACACTGTGCTGGATATCAATTCCTTTGCACAGGTATCTGTTTTCATTAATACTGTGAAGCTATCTGATCATTAACTCCAGCATTCTAATCTTACCTACTCTGTTATAACCCCAGAATCTATTGTTGTGTCTTTATTTTTCTGTGTTATTTTGTTTGGGGGTTTGTTGTTGTTGCTGCTGCTGCTGTTTCTCTGTTTTTTGTTTGTTTCTGTTTTTGTTTGTTTTTTGCTTGTCTTGTTGTTATTGTTGTTTCTTTGAGATAGGATTAAAGATGAGGCCACCATACCTGGCCTTTCTTATTTATTTTTGCTGCTGAGGACTGAACCCTAGGCCTGAACACAGCAAACACATACTTTCTTCCTGAGCTAACTCCCAAGCCCTAGAACCTATATTGAAATTCTCATGAGATGTTGTAGCAAGCACCCAGTCACGAGATCTGGTCTTAGATAATTAGATGCTTAGTCATGTTTCCCAGAAAACACTTTTCTGATGGTCTCTTCATGCTCATTCTCAGCATTACAAAATCCAAAAGTTTAAAAATAAAGTATGTTGGGGAAGGGACAAAATGAGGAAATTTAATGTTGGAAACTAAAGTTTAATAAAACATAAATAATTTGGTTTCATGCAATTTGGGAAAATACACTTTGGAAGCTGCTTTGTCTTTAATCAACTTCTATCAACACTCAACTTCCAAGTCTCTATTCGTTTTTTTTTATACTGTGCCCAACCTTTCAGCACACATTAGATTCTTTGATACACTGTTCCTGTAATCCAACTCCCACATTTCCAGCCAATAGTTCACTTTTCAGAAATGCTGATTAACTGCCTCTATTGTGCCTGAAGAAATGCATCTGACATTCCCGTGACAGGAGGAATTCAAATTCCTTTTGAAATGCATTTTTCATATTACATATAATGGAGGAAAAGGGACTCTTCTAACTATGTTAAGTATCTTTAATTTCTATTTCTGTGATATAGAAATGAACAACCACTGATCAATAATTACTCCTGGATAATATCTCACTTAGCATAGGACAGTACTGCAACTTGTATTTTTCTCCAGAAATTTACATTTTTCCTTCTACCACTGACGCAGCATACAATGGGTCCTTAGATACTTGGAAAAATGGAAGTCCCTTATATTTTTTTGCTAAAGGCTAATACACACATACACACACACACACGAAAACCCACTAGGATTACTTCCAGGAGACCAGTACATTCTGTTGAATATGTAACAGCAGCTGGGCAGGGTGCATTCCCTAATCCTAGCACTTGGCAGGACAAGAAAGATCCAAAGTTCAAGGTCAGCCTGGACTACACAGCAAGCTCCAGACAAACTTTTCAAATACCCTCGATGACATAGACTAAATAAAGAGGAGGAGGAGACATCAAGCTACAGGAAGAAGCACTTACCTGCTTTCCATCCAGGGTGCACAGCCTCTTGACCACGCCTGAGTCTAGTTTAATGGCTTCGGTGATATCCGTTAGGACCTGCTCAAAGGAGTGGGCAGTCTTTTTATTCAGGAGGATCCGCACGGCCTTTCTAGGCTTCACCCCACTTCGGATCACAGTCACTAACTTGGGTTTGATGAAGTCCTTGCTCTCTTTCACCTCACTTTTCGCAGAGGCCACGGCAAAGGTGCGGGTGGTACTGCCCTTGATGTTCACAGACCAGTTCGGATTTACGTTTTTAGTGTAATCAACTTTACGAAATGGTTCGTTGGAGGCACACACGTAACTTTCACCTAAAAAGCAAAAATAGTAATTTTATTAGCACAACATCAGATCTCTGAGTACTGGCCATAGTAGACCAGGATCCATTAGGTTTAAACAACAGCTTCTGGAAACCTGTAAGCCAAGTTCTAAGCTTGGGGTCACAGGAAAAGGTTCATTACAACATTTTCCTTTAACATGTTCCCACCTCCCTTTCTTCTCAGTTTCCTAGATTGGTTTTCTGAGAATGGCAGGTATGATGTGAAAAGCCCAAAGCCCAGAAACTAAGAGGGAGATCTGGGCTTTATTTTATCCAAATGTGTCACTTTTGATAAGCCATTATGCCACACTTTGAGTCTCAGTATCATTGGCTGAAGAATTAAATGGAGCACGTAACTAAATTATAAAGTACCTCCTAATTCCAAAAGCAAACTAATTTAATCTTCACAAAATCTCATTCCAGCCAGCCATGGTGCTACAGTGCAATCCTGTAATCCTAGCTACAGGAGGCTGAAGTGGATTATAAATCAAGGCCAGCCTGAGCTACATACTGAGAAGGGTCCTGGGATCACACTGGGTATGGACGTTCATGCATGTTATCCCAGCAGAAAGAGCCTGAGGTAGGAGGACTGTCATCAAGTTTAAGGAAAAGCTAGGCAGAGAGTTTCAGGCCAGTCTGGGCTACACAGTGAGATCTTGCCTCAAAAATAAACATAAATTAGTACTTCATTCTGACTGAAATCATTGGATCACAAATATACCATGAAAAGAAACAAATGAAATCCTTATTTCAGTCCTAATCAAACAGCAATGGCTACATCTTTACACCATTGGCTTAACTACACTCAGTTGTAGCCTCATCAGTTTCCGAAGCACTGCAAATCTGAAAGGTTTGGCTCCTCAAAGTAGCATACTGCAGGCACCGTTTGCCCTGAAGAAATACAAATTTAAAATGAACTGTAGCTTCAAATGCCCAAAGTTTTCTATAAGTTCTTACATGAGAGTGAATATTAAGTTAAAATGATACAGTCATTTCTCACAAAGCCTAATTAGGCTTTTGTTTAATTAAGAACATCCCAAAAGTTATACTACTTGGCAACTCGTCTATCAATATCTAACATTTTTTACATTCCAAATTTTCTAAGATTATATACTGAAAAGCTGTAAAATTTTTTCCAAGAAATATATGACTTACTCAATTCTTTTAGTATTGACTTTTGACAGGCAAAGTTGCACGCTAAGATTTTCTCTGAGAAATAAGTAATAAAGAATATGTTATTTCATGTATTTGGTACAGTTCATTCTTAATATAGTAATTATGTCAGATGAGCCATAAATGTTTTAACCAAAATACTGAAAAAGAAAGCCTGAGGACAAGCTGTTTTGTCAGTATTAACTATTATCAAAATGTTCTCCACTCTCCGTTTAATAGAGAGCCTCAGAGTCCCCCAAAGGCACATGTATCAGTGAGTGACAGATCAGGGATGTGAAAAGGAATGCCCAGAACAGCCTCTTTTTAGAGGGAAAGTGAGGGTCCTGCCCAGGAAAAGTGGGGAATCAGTTATGAGCTAGGACACTACTACAGCAGCACCCTGAGATCTAGCTCACCCATCCCCAACCAGGTTTGTATCCCCACAGAATCATTTTCAGAATCTAGTAGTATGACTACTAGAAAATTGCACAGAATTTTAAAGATAGTCATCAAATTGATAGAACTATATGTAGCACATGTATGTATTAGTGAGAAAATAATGATGGTATCATTTAATTTTATAGAAAAAGTCACATCAAAAAACTCTTGCCAGCCGGGCAGTGGTGGCGCACGCCTTTAATCCCAGCACTTGGGAGGCAGAGGCAGGCGGATTTCTGAGTTCAAGGCCAGCCTGGTCTACAGAGTGAGTTCCAGGACAGCCAGGATTACACAGAGAAACCCTGTCTCGAACCCCCCCACACCAAAAAAAAAAAAAAAACTCTTGCCATTTTTAAGTATGTTAAGTTTGATGAATGTTACAACCAAAAATGTGTAATGGGTCAATATATAAAAAGCAATCTAGTAAAGGAAGATAATTGTCTCTTAAAAGACAGAGAGATAGTGAGTAATCCCTTTCCAAAGTAAAATGAAAAATCAGGGTAAAAAGAAAAGAAAGTGAGCAGATTTAATTTATCAGTCTCCTCTGATCGATCAGACCCTGCACAGCTGACATGCCAAACATGAACCTGCCTTTCACCTTAAGTCTTCATGGTCTTCTGCTCAGAAACAAACAGGTAGAACAAGCCCTGTCATCACCCTGTGCAGTTACAATAATAACTCCTTCTGTCTCTCACCCCTTCCCTTCATAACACCCCTACTAGAAACACATAGACCAGTTGTATAATTTGGAAAGTTCCAAGTCAAGGTGTCCATAGAATAGAGCATCACACCATACAAATGTGCACTTAAGTGTGTGTGCACACACATACACACACACTATACACAGTTTTCTGCACACCGACCTTATAACCTATTGATTTCTCACAATCATTCTTTACCTGGTTTAAAAAAAAAAGTGTCTTTAATAAGTAGTTTCCTTGAACAGATACCAGTCTCACTCTAGTTCATCCGAAACAATCACTGGTACACAGGAGATGAACACATAGGTAAGGTTTTTACTTTTGCCAGCCATTCTGAAAACAACCTTAGTTACAATCTAGCACCTAGACACAACTTCCAACACCTGACTTCTTACTATTTAAAAACCTACTCTTACTAGGACTCAGGACTGTGTTGACTGTTTAAGGAGTGTATGTCTTCCTTCTCCTCTTCAAGAAAAAGCTTTGGGATTTTTCACTCTTGAGAATGATGCTGGCTGCAGGCTCTCATATATAACAACATGTGATCTTACAGAATGGGAATTTCAACACTAGCAGTTTTAGACTACTTTTGTGTTACTTAATACAGTCTCTCATTATATCATATGAATTTTCTAGTATCACTAATTAGTTTATTAAAAAATCCTGACATTCAAGTCAGAAATTCTGTTAGACAAAATCTGGACCCTGAGGTTATGCCTCATTCTTATGGTAAAAGCCGTTCAACAACTTTATAAAGAAAATAAAGCCAAAGAAAGTTGCAGTACATACTCTTCATGCCTTGAGAAAATGACGGGTATACTTACTGACACACATACACTGCTCTTAAACAAGGCAATGCTGAAAAGAAGTCAAAAAAGAAAAGAAAATGTGAAAGACACTTAAGGTTTAATACCAGTAAATCTTAGGAACTTTGACATTTTCCTAATTTTCCCAAAAGGATGTATCCAAGGAACACACATTCAGGTATTGTTTGCGCTTCGTGAAGACTAACATTTGAGAGATAGTGGGTGCACTACAGTCTAATGTGCACATCAGTGAGATGAGTCCCCAACATAGCTGCTTAAGAAAAACACAGAGTAAAAAAATTAAGTATCCTGTTAGTCTATCTACTGTGTCAAACAATTTGAGTTTTCTAACCAACTGTAAACTAGCCAGAATTAAAAATTATAGGAATCAGCAAAGTAACAAAATCCCTTGCTCTGGCTGGGGTTCTGTATGTGTTCTACCCTTGTGTGTCAGGCCTCAGGCTGGGGTTCTGTGTGTGTTCTACCCTTGTGTATCAGGCCTCAGGTTGGGGTTGTGTGTGTGTTCTACCCTTGTGTGTCAGGCCTCAGGCTGGGGTTCTGTGTGTGCTCTACCCTTGTGTATCAGGCCTCAGGCTGGGGTTCTGTGTGTGCTCTACCCTTGTGTATCAGGCCTCAAGAAAATTCCTGTCACCTTCATCTGCTGAGGACACAAAGTGAGATCGATGGCCTCTAAGTCCACATTCTTTCAACACATTTGAAGCTAAACAAAGTCTTCTGAATCAGGTTTAAGAAAGATCCTTTCTACTAAAGAAAGAACACAAAAGATACTGTGGGCATAGATACAGAGAAGGAATATGGAAATTTGTCTTAAGACCTAAGAAATTAGCTAAATGAGAAAACAGAAATCCTACTAATGATCAGAAATTGGTTCTTGTGCAGTAGGGCAGAACGGACAGATCCACGGTCTGCCTTCGGCACCTCACATCTAGCTAGGCATACGCCATCCTTAAGTTCACAACAGGGATTTTAATCTGGTGCTGATTTTTATGATAAAATGTACTTACCACCCCACTGTGGAACATATATCTAAATAAGTATTTCTAGCTGAAGCATAGTCACATAACTCAATACCCAAAGCTCCAACTCTTTAGATACATAACTTGACCAGAGGTTGGTAAGGAAAGGAAGAGGGGGCCCTAATATAAAGGCATGCTCACAGCAGGTTAAGGCTAGAGGACAAACAGTAGAAGTAGAAGCTAATTAGAATATATAGCTGGCTCAGTGCATGATACTCTGAAATTTGTCACATCGACTCAGCACTAAGTACTGCAGTCATTCTGGGAGCACCAGTTTCACTGGCACAAACAGGATCTGCAGCACTAGACCGCTTGCTCACATGTTCACCAGTCATGAAAGTTTGCCAGTTCTTTCATAGCTGCCGTGCTTGGATCGCGTTGGTGATCCCTTTGCATGCCCTGTCTTTATACTTAAAAATATCTTTAAGTTACAATGCAATGAACCATGGGCTTCTATAATTTGGATGCTAGATGTTTATACTGATTGTTTTTGTTAATGGTGGTGGTGCTAGAACACTGGTTCTCAACCTTCCTAACACTGTGACCCTTTAATACAGTTTCTCATGTTGCGGTGACCTCCAACCATAAAATTACTTTCATTGCTATTACATATAATTTTGCTACTGTTATGAATCATAGTGTAAGCATCTGACATGCAGGATACCTGATTGCAACTCCCATGAAAGGGTTGTTGGATGACAATGAGATTGTGACCCACAGGTGGAGAACCACTATGCTAGAGTTTTGTAAAACACGGAGTTTCACCTACCCCACCCCTTATTCTTATTTTCAAGGAGCACAAACATTGCTCAGGTTTTGTGATCTCAGGGGCCTATGAGGAACAGTGACTATTCTATA